ATACAATACTAAAAGATACCCATGGTCCAATGAATTAGGCTATTACAGTATTACATAATATTATGTCAACTTTTTTTAGTCGTTGTCTGCTCATAATAAGCTGTAGTATTTTTCATTTATTACAATCTATAACTGACTGATTTAAATTAGTTTATTTATTATTATTCATTATTCTACTAAATTAGGAATCTTTAGTTTTATCTCATCAAAATGTTTCATTAAGTTTCTACTTAAGATAAAAATTGTGAAATATTGTCCTCAAAATATAAAATAAGATTTTAAAACTGTAAAATGTTAAAATATGGTCTAAAAGAATTGGTATTTTTAATCACACTTTCATAGTTACATGAAATATATATTGTGCTTACTTAGCATACAGTATGTTCTGAAAATGCAACCGAGTCCTAATAATGACACATGGGTTTCAAAAAAAAATCTTTGATATAACATCATACTATAAGACTCAATAGTTGTCTACAGAATAAAAAACATAATTAGCAAATTTAATATATTAAACATTTATATGTTATTCATTACGAGTTGTATGAGTTAATCAGTAAAACAATGAATTTATAATATAATATTATGTTTGTAATGTTTATGTTATCTTTACCAGTTACTAGAATTCACCATATAGGTACACACAGACCTACTTTTTTAATAGTTATTTAWAAATAGTTAGGTCTGTCATCTGTCTTGGTATGATAAATTTAATGTATCATATTGTGTCTTGACCTCTGGTCCCTGGGGTACTTATATAAAATTATGCCTACTAAAAAGTAAAAAGTAATAATTAATAACATTATGTTTTCTTAGACATTTTTGAATTTTGTTTTTCAAAAGTATTTCTTTTCATGAATTTTTTTTTACTACAGATAAAAAAGTAGTTATAAGGCTACAAATATTATTATAAACTAGTAAAATATGTCTAGTGAATATTTAAATACCTACTACTTAAATTCTAATTGAAACATAGATAATAGTTATTAGTTATTGAAAATAATTCCTTGACAATATACGTATCAAAATAAGAAACAAAAATATCTTACTCTTACATAATATTAACAAATTACCTCACTCTTTTATTATAATTAGATTAAAACTACTAATCAAGGCATAAAAACAGAAAAATAAATTAAGTATAAATATTTTCATTTTTGTAAATAATTAAAAATGATAATAATAATATAACGCTAATATTTTAATGTGTTGTCTGTTGTTATTTATTTAACTGTCATTAAAATGTACAAACATTTAATATATTTAATATAATATAACAAATTGTTTTTGATAATTTGATCATTCAATATTTTTCTTGAGTTTAACTATTCAAAACACACAAACTAATTAAAAAAACATTATTTTAAGAAATAAATAGTTAAATATTTATACTTTTGTAGACGATTTATGTGGGCTCTACATAACGGGCATCCTGTATTCCCTTCATCCATCCACCTTATTATGCACCTTCTGCAAAACACATGCTGGCAAGGAATAGTTGTCACGTTACTTAGTCCTTGATGGCAAATGACGCATACTTCAAAGACTAAAAAATAAATATTTAAAAAAAAATTCCATAGGTACAACTTAATTTAATTTATCTTACTTTCTTCATTTCTATGCTGAGTCTCACCCAGCTCCTGAGTCTCATCTACCACCACTCCTAAAAATGTGAGTATGTATTACTAGTTGTTGAAAGTGTAGGCCATTAATTAATTAATTTATTTATTTATTTCATACAGTCATACAGAGTAAACTCCATTTACAAAAAAAAAAAAACTTACAGCAGCAAATCGTATGTTACACAACAGTAAACTAAATTAAAACAGTTTTTAACATATAAATAATAATATAATATTTGACATAATAATATCAAATACATATATTTTTTTCATATAAGAGATTTATTTTGTTTGTGCGCACCCTCAGATTGAGAATCTCTGATGTAAATTATTATAGTGAATGATTTAATTTTATTAGGTGACAGGTCTTACAATTGTATTTATTTAAAATAAATAATGTATTACTATTTAGGTCTTCGGCATAGAACCAGGTCCAGGCTTCAGCTGCATTTGACCTTTGTCTGCGATTTCCTATAAATTTAATCGTTGTTAACTACATTTTTAGGTAAATTCAGGTGTATAAAATAATAATGAAACTATTTAAATTAAGTACCTAATCATGCTAAGACAAAAAACAATATTTTTTTTCAATAAGGTACTCTTGTTCAAAACGTCCACTGTTAATTTTAAAATAAGTTATTTTTAAGTAATATTTAGGTACATATTATTATTACCTTTATGGTAATCAAGATCGCCATCATAGGTCATCACGAGGATGAACTCGTGATGATGCTGGCTTGTTTCTGCTATGGGCCTTACTGGTAGTGATGGTATTTCTGGTGGTTGTCGTCTTGCTACTAATAATGCTTCTGGTGGTGCTCCAACTACTGCTTCTGGTGGAGCTCCAACTGCTGCTTCTGGTGGTTCTCCAACTGCTGCTTTTGGTGGTGGTGGTGGTGGTGCTCCAACTGCTGCTTCTGGTGGTGGTCAAACTACTGCTGCTTCTGGTGGTGGTCAAACTGCTGCTTCTAGGGGTGGTGATCTTTCTGCTTCCACATGAAGCGCCCAATTCCTCTGCCGTTGTTCATAGGCTAAAGTAACATGTGCAGTACGGCAGAGAAATTGCCACATGGTTATCAGCCCCCACGGATATTCATGAATAGAATTTTGAATTCTATTCAAATTCGTTAGGATATTTGTTTTCTGTTTCCTCGAAGGGCACAAGTTATTAGAAATCTGGGTGATGGTTATATGGACATTTTTACTGAGATGACTGAGGTGATCTAAAACAAATTTCAAAAATTAACCTAATATCAATATTTTATTAATTATTAATCATATCATATTAATCATTATTTATCAATTATTAAAAATTGAATCTTAAAAAATATACTTACCTAAAAATATCCACAAATTCGGGTGAACCACGTTGAATTTTATCCTCAAACTATTGTGAAAACTTTCTACACAATTATTGGTGCGCCTTGGTAGGCCAGTGACCGATAATGTTTCTACTCCTACTCGCCTAAGCCAAAAGCTAAAAATAAAGTTATAATAGATAAATAATAATAATAATACAAAAGAAATTTKCTGTGAGAATTTTTCGATGTCCTTAGGTTATAGTTTATTTTTATTTTTATTTTTATATGATTAGTTTTTTTCCAAAAAAACATAGCACCCTACTTAATATTTACCATGCCAAAGAAAATGTATGAATATGTAACCATTAATTGTGTATATACCTAGTGGGAATGGTCATTTTTACATTTTAATTCGTTTCTATGTAATCAGYAGGGTTCGGAAGTTATAGGAGCAAAAAAAGGCAAAATATGCAAGAAAAAATTATAAAATATGCATTAAAAAATGTGAAAAATGCAAAAAAAATGTTTATTTATTAAAAGTGTATCAATTATTTATTAATATACACGAAAACAAATTATAAAAATATATATTTAAAAAAATTGTATTATTTAAAACTCTTCTATATAAAAATAATAAAAAATATGCCATGTCACCGGTTGACGTTTGAGATTTTATTGAACTGAAAAAATTTAACATTATTTAAAATAAATTGGTTAAGAATGAAAAAAAATTAATTTTTGTAGAAAATATTAAATTATGCAAAAATCAACGAAAATCAACGAAATATGCACTTCTTTCTTAAATTATCGAAATATGCAAAATATTCATTTTTAATTTTCTATTTTTAAACTCAACATTGTATAGCTTGGATTTCTATATTTGGACTGCTATGATTCAACAGCATACAGAACAATATGCAACTCCTATAACTTCTGAACCCTAGTAATCAGCAAAACATTAGCAAAAATCAGCTACATATATATAATATCTGTAGCCAGCACAAAAACAAATTTATGTTAAAAAAAAAATAAATAAAAACCAATATAATATGTAATAAAAGAAAGCTTAAGCTTTAAAAAATAATACAACATTTTGAAAAAATGTTCTTACTTTTGATAGAAATCAAATAGATCAACCATCAGAACATTGTGGTTTATCGCGTATATCCTCACTGTATCAAATTCTCTCTGAATATCACCTGATGGTAAAAGTGGCAGAGCTAACAGCATTTTCAAAGCTTTTAAAGCATATTCATTTGAATTTGTTAGTTGCAAAAATCCTTTTTTCTTCATATTTTTCCAAACTGCCTTTAAAGAAATGTGGTTATATGTATATAATAAAAAACGTAAATAGTTTTTAATTATTTTTAATAATTATATTAATTAATTTACTTGGTTATGGTGGAACCAACAACCTACAGTACGTGCATTGGGGAAATAAAATGAAAGAGTATCCCTAAGTGCCATCTCATAATCTGTTATAATAATGGTCGGATTTAGGTTTGTCAGAATGTTTAATTTTAAGAAATTAAAAACACTGTTGTACGTATTTCTGGATTTAGCCTCCATGAGGCAATACACAATGGGTATGGACTAAACAGGAAAGAAATTCATCAAATATTAAATTGTATTATTATTAAATAGTAATAAAACTAATCTAAACAATTTAGTCAAATTTGTGATTGATTTTTAATTTGCAGTTACCTAGTGTATTTTGGTAATAAAATATTAAGTTATATATAATCTTAAAATAACATACATGGTTCCCTATCATGCAATGAATGCTTAACATTTGCCTTCCCATATTTGATGGAACAACCTTAAATGTTGCATCAATATGAATTTCTTCAACATTGTTGCTTACAACTGATTGTATCAAGGTTGTGCATGTAAATATCATTGCCCCTCGGCCATCGACCTCGCGCACACAACCCTTGGACAATGTCTTGTCAGCAATTGTATTGACTCAAACTTCTTGAGTCAAAAAGATTAGCCAAGTCGGACAACGAAGGAGGTGGTGGTGGCAGTGAACTTTTCCTGGCAAGTCGCATACTACTTTCTGCCGTAGAATATGGGTAGAGCCCAGCAGCTTCAGGCTTTCTATGAAAAAAAACTAAATATAGTTGTAAGATATTTAAATTAATTAGCTTTCAGAACTTTAAAAATTATAAAATGCATCTTTGTTTTTTTTTTTTTATTAGCTTCTAGAAATAACTATTATAGCTTAACAGTTATATAACAATAGCATTTATGCAATCTACAATAAGATAAATTATAGCCGTGACAAAGCAAAGATAATCTCTTTGAGTTAACCATTTAAAAGAATATTATACATACAGAGGTTTTTAACTATACTCACCCCTATTTTTTATTTAATAGTACATTTTTCAAAATACTGATTTTTAGAATTCTTAAGTAGACCTTGAGACCATATTTTTAAAATGTCTGATATGCGAATGGTTTTTTTTGAAAAATGTTGATGTATCTAAATCAAAATTCTAATGAGTAGTTTCTGAGTTACTAAAATGTTTATTAGTTTATTATAATGATAATAATGCTTAAAAATGGTTCGATAAAAATAAAAATTATAATATGTAATGTTAGAACTTATTATTGTAGTATTTATTATACTTGTATCATTTTTACAAATTATTTATATTGATAAATCAAATAGTAATTATGATTATGATTATATGAATTTAGAATTATTTGAATTTTATCTTATCATAGACGTAGACATAAAAACAACATATTTTACAGTGGACTGTACTGGTGGCTTCGCAACAGTCTGTAAGTAAGTTGTAATAGAAACTTGCCATCGGATCTATCGATACATGGCGCATTTGTATGCTCGTACCACATCGTGGATCGTGCTGTAGAAATAAACGTTATCACTTCATCAGATTATCAGATTGTATCGGGACGCCGGCAGCATATTACCACAGAACAATATTTGTTATTATTATATTTATTATTATTTGATATTACCATTCTGCACACGAAATAAAACCCATATGAAAATACAGCTTTTTCATTGGTTCAACATGTGGCGCGATAAAATATTTAAATTATTTAAATAATAAATATTACAATGAAATAATATATAATATATATTGAATAAATTAATATTGTTATCATTGTTGTCATTAATGTAATATTATTTGGAATAGGTAGTTATTTTTAGAAAAAATTATGCCGTATTTTATTATATGATTATTTGATAATTAGAAAAAAATATTTTATCACACATAGATTATTTAAGTGTTTTGAGTTTATTAATCCAAAATCATTATTTTTTTTTTATAGTATATTTCTTAAATTTAAAAGATGTTTCTCAAATTAACTCTAGAAAATCTTCCTTCATCATTTAAAAATATTACTATATATTACGTTATGCAAGCAGTTTGGAGATGGCTATGGGATAGTAAAAATAGTATAAAAAAAGAACATCGGACATTAATGATGCAGGCATTTAGGAAGATGTTATATTCTGATACTCCTGAAGAAGCTCAAAAAGCATTTGATKCTACTCTTAATGCAGGGAGCATGTATCCAAAATGGCAAAAATATGTAATTGTACATCACTGGCAGCAAAAAGAGCGTYGGTGCTTAGCTTGGAGGGACCATACAACTAGAGGCCATCACACAAATAATTATAGTGAGGTGTCAGTTAGAATTTTTAAAGAAAATGTGTTATGCCGAGTAAAAGCATATAATGTAGTTTCACTAGTAGATTTTTGTTGCACAAAATTGGAAGAGTATTATAAAAAGAAATGCCTCGAATTTTCCAATGACAGAAAAGCTACAGCTCGATTATATTTTGAAAGCATAATCAAAAAAAGTAATTATATTACAAAAGATAAAATTATTGTAGAAAATGAGCATTATTATGTTCCTAGTCAAAATAACCAACAACTGATGTATTGTATTGAGCCAAATATAGGAATTTGGTCTTGTCAAGATGGTATGTACGGAAGATTTTGTAAACACCAAGGAATAATTTATGTATTTTATAAATTTATTGGGGTTAATTTTCCACCTATAACTGTTGAGGATAAATTCGCAATATCAAAATTAGTATTGGGAGTTAAAGCGCCCAGTAAGACATTTTATGAAGGGCTTATATCTAAGGAGGCTTTACATCTGCAACATGAGACCATTGATTATAAATATATAATAAATGTATTTATAATCAATGATGAGACTCGTTCAATACATTTGCGATTGGCCTATAACAGAAATAAACGAACAAGACGTACATAATACACATGAAAATAATCATATTATTAAAAAAAAAATGTTGATAAAAAGCACACCAGTGCCCATTGCAGACAGTCAGGTACCAAATACACAAGATATTAATRCTGTATTAGAAGATATAAAAACTCTATTAACTAATAATGTAAAAAAGTTCAACCAATATACTCTTGAAAATTTASTTAAATTCAAAAATAGATTGGATAAAGTAAAAACAGAAGGACAATTTAATACATTTTTGACAACTGCTGGTTCTACGACAATACCATTTAGACATAAAGATGGTGCTGCTATTAAAGTAYAGCCGACTACAATTTCTAGATGAAGACCAGGGATAACAAGAGGTAGCAAGCGTTTACCATYAGGTAATTTATAATAAAATAAAGATAAATTAATAATATTATGCATTAACAAATTTGATTGTGTTATAGGTCGACCGGCTTTAAGTGACCATGGTCCATCTAAAAACACCTCCAGAARACTATTACAAAACATAAAACTTTGTTTAACTAACAGAAAATCTCATTGATCATTTGTATTTTGCAATATTAATAATAACCATTCAAATCATTACTTGATATAGTGTTACTTTTTATACAAATGTTRAAATATATGTCAWTAATCATTATTATTTGTTGTTTCCATCTAACCAATACATAAAATAGCAAATTGTATGGTATTAATAATCCACTTCCACTGAGCTCTGTATAGGTACTTAATGTTATTGAATTTAAAAGTAAGAATATAATCTAATGGATGTCATATTTTTGTTTTAATRCCAATTATAAGCCTTACAATTTCAAAGTTCTCAGAATTCATTTTAAATTAAAATATAAAAAAAACTTATGAGAATCATGAGATTATATTCTTATTTTTCTCAATTGTCTAATGATAACAATATTAATTTATTCAACAAAAACAAAATAGCATACATACTAATTTAAATCATAATAATATGAATTAGAATTTGTTCGCACACATAATTTTACTAACATATAAATAAGTGTTATARATTTTATAATTATATAACTTACAATTCGTTTTTAAATATTGTACACAATATTTGTAACTTTCATTTTTTTAATATGAAAATCTATTTAATCTGAATTTGTATACACT